GCGGGATTATTCACATGTCATTATAGTTGCGCCGCCTCTACTGCCGTGACTCCTAAAAAACATTTTCATTCCGCGTCGCCCCATCAAGAGCTCGCTGGATCCGCTCCTCTGCTATCAACGAGAGGAACGTCTGTTCTTCCGCAACAGGGGGAACAGCCACTTTTTGGTTGTTAAAAAAAGGTGCGCTCATTCAAAACAGTTGCGTTCGATCCTTCGCTGGCTGTGCTGATTTAAATCTAGCGGTTCTGTTGTGTTTGTGTCTCATGTCGCAAGTTCAGTGACGCAGGTAGTGACGATTCTCTCGGGTAAATCCGTGATCAGCAGAGTTTACACGTCACGTTTTGGTAACGGTACGGTATGCTTGGAACCCCAACCGAGGTGGTACTAAAAACAGTACCAGGTACTGTACCCAGTGGAAAACCCCCAAAAAGTGAACCGTACCGAGCTGTACCATGCCGTACCATGCAGTGGAAAAGCGCCATAAAGGAGGTAGAGCTTTTTTGCATTTGGCTCCCAAACTCTGGAATAGCCTTCCTGATAACGTTCGGGGTTCAGACACACTCTCTCTGTTTAAATCGAGATTAAAGACACATCTCTTTGGCCAAGCATTCAAATAATGCATCTCAAAATCTTGTACTGCAGTTATATCTGATCAAATGCACATTATTATTCTTTAGTTTGGGTTAAACAAATCAATTTTGCTTGGTTGGAACAGCAGCTACGCTAATTATTTCTCTATTTATTTTTCTGTTTTTTGATTTACACAAGCTTCAGTCTGGATCCAGAACACCTGAGAAGAGATGATGCCAACCCCTCAGAGGACCTCAGATTGGTTTCTCCCAAGGTTTTTTTCTCCATTCTGTCACCGATGGAGTTTTGGTATCTTGGCGCTGTCGCCTCTGGCTTGCTTAGTTGGGGACACTTCATTTCCAGGGATATCGTTGACTTGATTGCAAATGATTGCAAAGATACTATTTAAACTGAACTGAGCGGGATGATGACATCACTGAATTCAATGATGAACTGTCTTTAATTGAAAAATGAGTGTTTACTATTGTCATTTTGCATTATTGACACTATTTTCCTAATTAATGCTGTTCAGTTGCTTTGACACAATCTGTATTGTTAAAAGCGTTATATAAATAAAGGTGACTTGACTTGACTTGACTTGTCAAAAGTACCGATGTCAGTAGGGGTTGGGGTGTCACTTTAGGGGTAGGGGTGTCTCGATTTTCTTTTGGTTGGAGAGGTAGGGGTAGGGGGAAGGGCCAGATAGCCCTTCAAATGAAGATTTTTCGGGACCCAAATTCAAACAAAGGGCTATAAAAAATTATCTTAGCATACACCAGCTACAGCGTCAACATGGCTGCCCAAGCAAACAAGAAGACCCATAAATGTACGTATTTTTGGAATTAATAGGGATTTTAATAAAAAATAATCATTTGTTTTATGTTATATTCCATCTTTTGTTCATATTTACGGTCATATTATTCAAAGAAATGTTTGCAAAAAATCACTAAAGTTCGCTAATGTTAAACCATTAACTGACTGCATGGTAGCTCCACAACATTTTTTTTTTCTGATCAGGGTCGTAACCACCATAGACATTGAAGGGGGAAATAATTAAAAATCACCAAAAAAGAAAAATTCTCAAATATGGCCATTTTGAGAGAGAGAGAGAGATGAAAGCTGTCCCTGCTGAACCCCCCCCCCCCCCCAGCTAAAACCAGCCTAAGCTGGTTGGCTGGTTTTAACTGGTCGTCCAGACAGGTCATAGCTGGTCAGCAGGCTTGTTTTATGGGTTTGGCCACTTCAGGCTGGGAGACCAGCTGGCCAACCAGCTAAAACCAGCTTGGCCAGGCTGAGAGACCAGCTAAAACTAGCTACTTCCGGCTTAAACCAGCTAAGACCAGCCAACCAGCTTAGGCTGGTTTTAGCTGTTTTTTGAGTGTGTGAATTACATGCGTCTGTGCGTCTCTCTCTACAATGAGAGAGTTTACTTACTTCAAAAACAGCGATTTTATCCTCTCGTTGCTGGGAAATATAATATAGTGAATCAATATTTAAGCTATTTTATTAATTAAAGTCACAGGGCATTGGTGGATGTTTGTGTGTGCGTTGCGTGATCTCTGATATGTGTGTGTGTGTGTGTGTGTGTGTGTGTGTCAATGAAAGCAGCGATTAATATACAATGGTAATTAAATGCCTCTAATGTACCAGTATTCAGACAGACCACGGATTGTGTATGTGTGTGTATTGTAGGAGCTAGTGACGGCGTATGATGAAGTGTAATGGTGTAATAATGGTGATCTATTTCTTAGGGGAACACTTGACACTCTGTTTCAAGGGTCAACTGGAAGAGGTAAGCATAGGGGTAGGTGAAGAGGTAAAAAAATTTAATTGGGATTGGGCCTAAGTGCTGTCCCCTGGTGTTCAACAAGGTCTGGTGGACTTACGGCTATGTGCCTAATGCCTACGAGTTACCATCCAAAGATATGTATGCTTATGCAGTTTGGCTATCGGTTCTGCTTTTGCTGAGCACCCTTCACAGTAACATGCCGTGATTTGACACATTCCCCATAGTGTCGGATTCTGACGTGACACAGAGTGGCCAATATTGAAAGGGAACTTCTCCGGTTACTGACGTAACCTCGGTTCCCTGAAATGAGACGTCATGATCATGCTGTGTTACTTATGCCCAGGGTTTTTCGTGACTGGCTTATTCAGTCAAACTATTCTGAGGAAATTACGTTCAGCGCCGCCCCAAATTTGCATGCTTGAATGTGACTTGAATTGCAAGGCAATATTGTGGTTCAATCAGGTTTTTGTTTTTCTAGGAGAAAAGTGTTTCCCCATAGCATCAGATTCTGTCTACTATATGCAACTAACGCTCCACGATCCTCAACACCAACACATGTGATACAGTAGCATTTCTTTAAAAAATATACCACTTGGTGTAATGTTTTAAAATATAATGCAAATACTTGTAGAATTTTTTTTTTAATTGTGGTCAAATACTTCAAATACTACATGTCACTACATAACTCAAACAGCTACTGTGGAAACAATCAGGAGGATATACAGTATGAAGGATTGTTGATGTCTTTGGTCAGCCTTCACCCTTAATTACAGGAAAAAAAGCTCAGATTTCACTTCCTCTGTACAAAAATTAAAATTTCACAACTGCAGACTGCTTTAGGATTTGGTTCATTACTAAAAGATGCTAAATATTAGCATACCATTTCTGACAGTTTACATGCAGTGAAATTAAACTATTAAAATGACATTATCAGTGAATGCGCAGAGAAAATTACAAAGTAACTATCATAAATTGAACCATGTACTGCAGTTTAATTGCTCATAATCAACTCAGTAAATTACTGCTCTGGACACTAGAAATGAGCATCAATAATAATGATACTTCTTTATTAAAAAAGAAAACAACACAAAAAAACAGGTGTGCGATTCTCAAGACCCTTTTACATGATTCAGCATTCAATGCATTGTTCTCTATGCAGTGAAGTATCAGTATTGCATGCCAATCAAGCACTGTAGAAAACAATTTCAACTTTGACCTTTGTCACTGAACTTTCAAAGCATAAACAATTATTAATGAACAATCTGTAAGACATACACAATGGCACTTTTTCCCAATTACAGGTTTACAACCTAAAAGGCTGTTCACACCAAACGTGGATATTCAAGCATTCAAGAATAATTGATTATTGGTGGATTCCTTTTGAGTTATACACAATGACATTGACAAATCAAAGCTTTTCAGAAAGTGTACTGAACATTTTTCATCATCCCACTGAACCTGGCATTGAAGACAAGGATGTTATGGACCCTATTCACAAACTATTTTTTTATATTTATATTAATGTACATTTTATACAACTATGTTTTGTTTTAGTTTACCCTGACATTTTTGACAGTTAAAACTATATTTTACACAACAGCAAACCTGCAAACTAATGTGTGAGCAACAAAGCATACCATTAAAAAAAACATCACACTTACTCTGAAGTAACCACTGTTTGTCTTGGATGATTAGAGGGCAAAAGAGGAACGGTAACTCACTGACTAATCTTCAGAGCAGTCTTTCTGTTGAATGAAAACAGTTATGACAGGTCAGAACAGTGTCCTCTTTCACACTTTATTAAAATGAAATGCTGGAGTACAAAATGAAAGTAGGTCATTTCTGATCACAACATGATTTATGTAGTTGACTTATATAGTTAGAACCTGAACCTAATAATTTGATAGCTATATGGAGGCAGACTACCTAGCAAATCTGTAAGGGTATAATAAAAAGAAACTTCACATAAAATATAATTAAAACATTAAAAAACTACAAAGACTTCAGTCTAAGTTCAAACCAGTAGCATGTGGTCGTCTTGAGCCAGTAAAATCCCCTTTTTTATTTTCCACATGATGCATATCTCAATGTTAAGTAACGGGTGTTGCACAAATGTTAGCTTCCTTTTGTACAGTTGCAAGATAAGGATGTGATTACTGCATGCCCCACGATTAAAGGCCAGCAGTTTAATGAACAAACTTTGTCAGGGGTAGCAAACAGTCTATACTGTACATGTCACATTTACTGTACATTTTGAAAAAAGTCCTCTTGGTTAACAAACTGAACAGCTTGTTTACCCAAAAAAGTGGGAACATGAAGGTGAGTAAGTGATGATAATTTTGTAGAAAGTATCTTTACACAACAATACTCAATACAAAGCTATTATACAACTTCAGTAGACCATAACGCACAAGTCACATGAAATATTTTATGACACTCTTAAGGTTTTTCGAGCTTGGTATTTAAAATAACTATACACTTTATTGTTGAAAGGAGCCACTCGGTCATTATGTCTAAAGTCACTATTTCATTGCTTATGATAAATGACAGATGAAAGGTCCTATCCGAATGTGAAATTTCAAGATCCAGTTTGAGCTTTATATGCATTCAAATATGCTCTGCATTGTAATATCCTGCTTCTTCTGTATTAACGACAGTGAGAAAAAAACTCTGTTATTTAACACTTTAGCTTTGGCAACATCTTATATGTTCCTTAAAGTATGACCGTGCTCATTTTTATAAACAAGTTGCTATTAATTATTCATTAATTGTATGATTATCAATCAAAGGGTAAATGCCGTTACTTTCATGTTTTTTTTTCTGGAAATGTAAAGAGAAACACAGTAGCGTCACAAATTGAAATTTCATTGCTACTGCCACTAGAGAGTGAATTGCTACAGTCATATCTGGAAATACCAGGCCTGAAAGGCAGTTTAAAATTATAGTTCACCCAAAACATTTTGTTCTACCATCATTTAGTCACAATGTTGATTACCCTCATGTTGTTCTTCTGCTGAACACAAAAGAAGGTATTCTGAAGAATGTTTCAACTGTTATTGTTTGTACAATGAACTTCAAAGGGGTCAAACACAACACTGGAAACTGACTTTCATTGTATAGGCAAAAAAAAAAAAAGACAGAAGTCTCACTATGACATTAGGGTGAATAAATAATAAATGAATTTGGGCAATGTTTCCAATAAAAACATGTTTCAAACAAAAATTTGAATACAAGACCATTTAGATTAAAAAAAAAAGATTTACTATATCTCTGTTCAATGGAAGAGCAAGTCTGAACTTGCAAAGTGGAACATTCCTCAGCTCTCCCTGGGCTAAATTATTTGAGTAACGGTATACAGTAACTGTAGAGAATATAAAGAAAATATTAAGACTACCAAAAGCAAGCCTGTGATTGTCTCTTTGAAGATCTGGGATGATCAGTCATCTGGAGGTGATGATTTTGAGCAAGATGAACACAATGAAAAACCTCTGATCAGACATTTAAATTAGTTATTAAGATGGACTAAATTCTTGTTTTCCAGCAGACATGCCATGACACGGTGCGCTACAGTGTCTACATATTTGATTTAAATCTACAGGTAAAAACATGTTAAAAGCATTTAAAATGTTGTCAAACAAGCCACAAAAGGACAGAAAGAGGACAAGAGATTGGAACTATAAAGAAACCATGCAAGAATTACAATTTCTATTTTGTTATAGGCCTATGTATTTTGAGCAGTGGTGGGCCGTCAGGGCCAGCAAAGCCTTCTCTGCTGGCCTAAACACTAGGGATGGGCGATATCTTATCGTTTGCGATATACCGGTAAAAATTCTCCACACGATAAGAATTCGTCTTCCTGCAATAATAACGATAAAGTCTAGTTGTTGACATATTTCTGTGTGCGACTGTGTGGAGTGACGTGAAGGAAGGCGGACATGAAATTGAGCAGCTCCTTCTACAATCTGGAACAGGTTTGGATAGGGCTGTACAGTGCGACAAAAATCGGTCTGAGCCTTGAGTAAATGTACTACAGCAGCACGTGCGCGACAGTTTTACACGTGTATGAGTCGTTTACAAACCTGTTGTCCAACAAAGATATTTTAATTTATTGACATGCTTTTTCTCCATATTAACTTCTTAACAGTCGAGTGTTTGAAATAACTTATTTTTGTGATCAAACGTGGTTTTGTATCACAGAATAAGGCAGAAATCATACTATTTTATAGCATTATATACAGTGATAAAGGCTATGTCGATTAGCATTGCATTATAAATATACTTTATCCTTATAAAAAATACCCAAGATTGCTTGAAGACTACGCAAGGGCGCCCTCCGGCTTCCAGTATGAATTAAACAGTCATTACATTACGTGTGTACTCCTAATGCTCACAACACCCTATTTTGGGCTTTTCTCTAAAGAAACAGGATTCCCTAAATTATCGTCATTGATATCGTTATCGCAATAAATATCAAAAATTATCGTGATACATTTTAAAGCCTTTTTATGCTTAAATCATGCTGCCCATCCCTACTAAACACTATCAGAATCACTGATTTAGTTTTAATATATTTTTCCATGGATGTTTATTAAATTATTTCCAATAGTCTATTCTCTTCAATTCATAGCTTTTCTCTTGGTTGCACTGCTTCCAGCAGTGTATGTTTATATTAGAGCTTTTATCCAATCATATTTCAGCAATCGTGTTGCCAGGGTCAAAGAAATCTGCCTTAAGGCCTTCAGAATCCACAGTGCAGGCGTCTGTTAGCTTAAATCAATGGCAATGAAACCGTTGCTTTAACCAATCAGATTTCGAGTTGGCAACACCAGGGCCATTTAGCTGGCTAACTATAACGTCAGCATTTTCTCGTCCTTTGATTGGATGGTCAGCATACTAGCTAGAAAACAGCATCACTGTAAATCATTTTATTAAAACTTAGTAAAACGTTTATTACTTTTCCTCAGGTCTAGATTTTCAGTGCATTTTGAAAAAATATTTGCCTACTATATTTAGTAAATCTAAAAACAGTAGTCGTAATGACTGCGAAAAACAACCACACACCTCCCCGGCACCGGCTCTGTGAAAGACTCGTGAAGATGAAAAACCA